TTTTTAATACTTAAAGATTAAGGATATAGAGGAGGTGTAGTATCTAGTATTAATATCTCTAGAATTAGTAGTAAAGTATTCTAAATAGCTTTAATAATAGAAGACCTATCTAGTGGGAAAATACCCTATTCTTTAAAGGAATTATAGATAATTTATAAGGTAAAGGTCTTCTCTTATATAGCTATAATATTATAGAGGAAATTTACCTTATCTCTAGGGACCCTACTCTACTGTAAGATAAGGTTATTTATACTATAAAAATATATTTTATATATAAGAAAAGGCTTTCCATTAAGTAATTAATATAGATAAGTTATATAAGGTTAAAAGTAGAATAGGAGGATCTTATAGGTCTTATAAAGCTATAGGAATTTAACTATTTAATAAGCTATATAGCTATTAAAGATAAGAATATATTTTTCCCCCTTTTTTATATAATCTTTTATCTTATTATAGAAGTTTTAAAGCTATTTAACTGTAAGTTTATTATATATATAGCCTTTCTTAGAGGTTATAGTATAGTAGTTTAATAGCCCTTCTTTAAACCATAACTCTATAACTTTCTTACCTTTAAATATAAAAAATAGAGTTATAATCTAACTATCTATAGTAATATATTTAAGTATAGTTATATTCTCTATATACTTAGCTCTAGTAAGATTATAGACTTTCCCCTTTATACTAAGTACTTTTTATACCTTTCCCTAGCCTAGTTAAAAGCTATATTTATTAAAGTTATATACCAGGCAAGCAGGGACATTATAAAGTAATATTTTTAATTAATTATACTAAAATTAAAGCTATCTAATATCCTCTACCTCTAGCTACTTTTTCTCCTTTATTTTCTAAATCACTAGTCTTAATTTAAGCTTAAGAGGAAGCCTTTTAGTGAAGTAATACACCTATAACTAATTAAGGTGTTATTTAGGATTAATATGCTAGATAGTAAGATTTACTATCTTATAAAGTAATATAATTATAATAGGAAGGTATATATTATTTATATAGGTAACCTAGTCTCTTAGAGTGGCCTCCTGGTACTAATTAAGCACTTTATTTAAAGGGATTTAAGCAGTTTAAGGCTTTCTTTAATTATTAAGGCAGCCATATAGTATATAGTAGGGAATGCTATATTCTTACATAATTTTTATAATATTTAGTTTTTTTTTAAGATAAGCAGCTTTATATACCTTATTAACACATTCATCATGATTTTCAGATAATTTAGGCATTTTGGGCGGTTTATATAGCTTTAAAAATATTGAATATTCATTTTTTTCCTCTACGCTGAAAATTCCTTTACACCGCCGACCACCTACTAGTGGAGGCGGTGGGTGGTCGGGCCGCCACTAATATCTAGATATTACTAAAGGTCTAAGTAAAAGTACTAAATTATCTAATTAGAGAAATATTATATAAAAATTATATAACTAAGCATTAAAATATTAAGGATTAAATACCTAAAAGATATACTATAATCTTTAAAAGATCTATATATTATAATAGCTTTACTATAGTTCTAGATAAGAGGTTAAGGCCTAGTAAGAAGCTATAATAGGATAAAAAATATAAAAATAATAGATATTAAAATAGCTATTAAAATAAGAGTAAAAAACCTAAGTTAACTACTTATAAATATTATAAAGAGGAAGAAGGTTACTATGCTTAAGATTATTCTATACCTATATTAAAAAGATAATAGGAAGTAAGAAACTAGAGCTACTAGTATTATATACTATATTAGTACTAAGGCTATAACTCTAAGATAAGGAGTTAAGGGTACTAGTTATAGACCTTAATATAGATAACTAATATAAGATAGTATAGTAAGCTAAAGGTCTATATAATATAGGTACTAAAGTAAATTTTATTAGCTAAAAATAACTAATGAGGTATTAAAGTATAAGCTAAAATATAGTATACTAAGTTAAGGTAATTAATAGATATACTATTAATTTATATAGATCTATATAGATCCTAATTATAATAACTAACTTATATAGAGAAATATATACTTATATTTAAATATTCTATATAATAGACCTTAATAGATATAATTTTATCCTAGAATAGCTATATAATCTTATAAGTAACTTAATTATAGATCTATAATTATATATCTAGTAGTACTAGCCTATTAAGTTAGTAATATAGAAATTATTTTATTAAAAGAATATATAGATAAAGTCCTATAAAGAGTAGCTATATTTACTATCTACCTCTAGAAGCTAGTAAAAGGTAAGCTAATCCTAATATTTAGTATATAAATAGGAGAAAACTAATTATTAAAGGTATATTAAGAGTATATAGATATCTTCTTAAAGAAAGAAGCTAGTATATTAGTACTATATAAGGACTATAACTATATAATTAAGTACTAACTAAATATATAACTACCTTATAGACTAATCTATAATCTCTTAAAGTTAGAGTTAAAGATTTTAAGAGAGTATATTAAGAATATATTAGAAAGAGGGTAGATCTAATATTTTAAAAGTCCTATAAGTATACTAATCCTATTTATACTAAAGAAAGATAGAATACTATAATTATATATAGATTATAAGAGTCTTAATATAATTACTATTAAAAATTACTACCCCTTACTACTACTTAGACTAACTAGGGGGTATAAAGGCATTTATATAGCTAGACCTTTATAATACATATTACAGGATCTAGATTTACTTTAAAGATAAATAGAAAACTATATATTAAATAAGGTATAGATATTTTAAGTATAAAGTTATATTATTTAGGCTAGTTAATATACCTATAACTTTTTAGTTATATATTAATTATATGCTTAGTAACCTACTAGATATATACTATATAGTATACATAGATAATATCCTTATCTACTCCTAGAATAAGGAAGAATATAAATATTATATATACCTTATACTAGACTAATTATATAAATATAAACTATACTATAAGATAAGTAAATATATATTTTATATAGATTAACTCCTTAAGATTTATTATTAATAGTTATAGAGTAGAGATAGAGTAAAGCTATATTAAAACTATTAATATATAGCTAGAACCTATCTATATATAAGATATCTAGATCTTTCTTAGCTTTATAAACTTCTATTAATAATTTATTAAAGGGTATTTATATGTTATAATAAACCTCTCTAAGCTTCTAAAGAGTATTAAATTATTATATTTATACTTATTAAATGTATATAAAAGGCCTTTTATAATCTAAAGGATTACTTTATAAAGGCCCTAATATTATAATATTTTAATCTAGAGTATAAAATATATATTAAATTAGATACTTCTAGATATATAATTACTAGAATCCTATCTTAACTATTTAAAAATATATAATAGTACCTAATTATCTACTAGTCTAGGAAAATAATTAGAGCTAAAATATACTATAAGATATATAACTTTAAATTACTTATAATTATTAAAAGTCTTAAGTAATAGTATTACTATTTAAAAGGGAGTAAGTTCCTAATTACTATATTATTTAATTATACTAATATATACTATTTTATAATAATAAGAGAGCTTAATAGATATTAGGTAAGATAAGTAGAAAGATTAGCTATATTTAATTTTATTATTGAATATTACCCTAGGTTAAAGAACCCTATAGTAATAATATAATTATAGATAAAGATTATACTACTAATAATATAAGAGTTCTAGAGCTTCTAGTATTATAAGAATAGGTTAAGGGTACCTTATCTCTTAAAATAGTATACTTTATAGATATAGGATTACTTATACTAGAACTATTATATATTACTTAATAAATTAATAAATTTTACTAGAGGAAATAATATAAATTAGGGGGTCTAAATATAAAAGAGCTAAGTAATTTATCCTAGAGTATAGTAAAAGATGAAATCCTATACTATAGGAATTATACTTATATCTTAGACTCTATAGCTTTAAAGGTAGAGATAATAAAGATTAATTATAATAACCTTTAAGGAGGTTATTAAAGGTAAAATTATACCTTAGATTTAATCTAATATTAATACTATTAGTATAGTATTATAGAGGATATAAAGAAATATATTACTAAATATAACCTTTATTAGAGGATTATAGTTTATTATTATAAGCCTTATAATATACTTAAACCTTTACTAATACCTACTATACCTATATAGTAGATTAATATAGACTTTATTATAGGTTTTCCTCTATTAAAGTAGCTAGAGAAATTATATAATATAATCTTAATTATTATAAATCTATTTACTAAATATATACTATATATCCTATACTATATAAATATAGATATACTAGAGTTAGTAGATATCTTCCTAGAATAAGTAATTATATACTAGGGAGTCCTTAGGAACCTTATAAGTAACTAAAAAAGCCTATTTATAAATATCTTTTAATCTATACTATATTATTATATTAGTATATATTAGTTCTGCCTATTTTATATAGGGATTAGAGACTATATAATTATATAAATAATCTCTCTACTCTTTAAAGAGTATATATAGGGGGCTAGAGTATAGTTATATTTTATTATTATTCTAAATAGCTTTATACTATAGAGTTATTTTAATTATATTAATTAATTACTCTAGATACTTTATATAAATTTATTTTATATCCTAGCTAATAGAATAAAGCTTATAGATTTAAGATTATATTTATAGTAATAGTTCTAGCTGTATAGTAATCTACTAAGTCAGGTACCCTATATTAAAAATGCACTATTTTGCACAAGTTCACCAGACCAGGGGATAGCTTGATATAAAGAAATAGCTAGAGAATTAGTTCATTAGCTTTATTTTATAGATCTTATAAGAGTTTAGTAATAAAAAATATAGATAGCTTCATTATATTCCTTTATTAAAAATTCCTCTACACCACTGACCACTCACTAGTGGAGGGCAGTGGGTGGTCAGGCTGCCATAAATATTCTCTTAATCATATGATTATTAGCTTGTGCAGTATTAGTAGCTGACACTAGTTGTCATAGTGCATGCATGGTGCGTGGTGTGGGTCTGCTGACAAAGGGATGATTACTCTACCAGGCACTCTGTAGACAACCTTATCTCTTTCATATCCATGTGAATTGTTATTCATTCCTTTCATGTACCGGGATGATTTTATCTCTTGACCATCTTCCTGAAGAGATACTGCATTGCATTCTATGCCACTGTGATCCTTGTTGTTCAGCTGCTTTGGAGCAAACAGCTCGCCGATTCAAAAATGCAACAAACCAGCCTCTACTATGGCGCTTTTATTGCAAGACTCTGTTCAAATTTTGGGACAAGAGACATGATATGCCAAAGAAGCTTGCAGGCCCAGTACTATCAGTAAACTGGAAATCCCTTTACGTTTCAAGGCATCTTATCGACCGCTCAACCACCTATCTCCTGAACTGTATTCTCGCGAGTCAAACAGGACGCATCGAAAAATATCAAGCAATCATTGATTCCGGATATGATGCTAAGGACACCCTCCTTCGACATGCTTCGGTGGAACCTTACATAGAGGACCACTTGGCGAGAAGGTTTGCTCTTTCTATCCTTGTTGAAGTCTGTTTGTTGACTAGATCTACGCGGCGTCTCGAAGATATTACTCAACGTCACTCCTTAATTGTTTACATCGAAGTATCGCAGTACAGCAATGGGCTGGGCTCGGGAATGGCGAGGCTGTGCCTCTTGGACGAGCACTAGGTGCCTTTGATCTATTTATTCCAGAAAGTGGATATGGAAATTTAGATGAGGTATGTGGTAGACCAAAACTCATGGGTGTATTTATTTTGATGGATGGCAGATGAGCGTAAAGTTAGACGGGATAGCTGCAAGTGTGATTGCAAACTACCCTGGTATTGATCACTTAACATTACGTGACAGAGCCCTGACAATCGCGTCATATCTCAAAACAAAAAACTTGACCGGCATTGGGCTAGGGCGAGAATACCATTTGCTAGAGCACAACTTCTTAGGATATGCACTAAAAAATCCGGAACATAATTCACTTCCACTGATATCGGCAGCTATATACTGCGAAGTTGCACAGAGGCTTGGTCTAAATGCCGGTCCTTGTGGTTTTCCTTTTCATGTCCATGTCATAGTCAGTCCCCCTGCAGGCTTTGACATGGATGGCAACATGCTTAACTCCATGGCCCGAGGTGAGCCGATGTACATCGATCCATTCCGGTCGGAGGGAGAAACTTCCGTGCATTCCTTGCAAAGCCAGTTGGACTTCTTAGGGGCATCAACACCTGAGAAATCTTCATTCCTCGGTGAATCTTTGACATCAGAGATTGTTCTGCGATGCGCCAAAAACATTTTGAATTCGGTCCAGCATATGTCTCAATTCCCAACCACTGATTCCGTGCTTATGGATATCACCAGCGCGAAATATGCCGCATTTTGGTCATCCGTGCTTATCTCAGGCCCGTCTCGACCTGCGGAGCTTCGGCATATCTTGCCTTGTCTGATGGAAGTTTTTGCGACTAATTTTCCTTCAGACATGTATTTAATGGAGCGGTATCTGGGACCCTTGTTTCGTGGGATGCCCGAATATGAACACATCCTGGAAAGTCTTCATGTCATGCGATCTGTGGATGAAATTCCAAAGCAGGTGCATCGGCGAACTGGGGAACACATTGTAAGATATCGAATAGGCCAGGTTTTTGAACATCGTCGATATCACTACATAGGCATAATCATTGGTTGGGATACCGAATGTGGTGCCGGTGAGCAGTGGATGAGGCGGATGGGGGTTGATCATTTGCAGGCGGGGAGACACCAGAGTTTCTACCATGTTCTGTATGTTTATACCAGTTTATCACACAACCTGTCCAGTGTGCTAACAGTCTTCAGTGTTGAGGACAAGAGTGTTCGATATGTAGCGGAGGAGAATGTTGAACTTGTTAAACCTCACATTGACGAGTTGCCGCAGGCGCTTGTCAAGGTAGCCGGGAAACACTTCAAACGATGGGATAAGGAGACCCAGGCATTCATTAGCAATATCAGTGATGAGTATCCTGAGGATTAAGCAGGTGATTATCTCTACTTGTATATATGAAAATTTCAATCAAGTAATTACGGAGATGAAATATTTTGATAAGTAGTAGTAGTAGTAGTAGTAGTAGTAGTAGTAGTAGACCTCTTATTCCTGTTACAGCTAATGCTAAATGTATGTTACTATATAGGACTACTTAGAATACTAACTATAGACTAGTATTATCTTTTAATCTTTAATAGCTATAATAGTTATACTATTATTAAATTTAATTAATTTTATATAAAGAGGAAGATTATTCCTTTATATATACTCTCTTACTTATCTTCTTTAATTACTAGATATAGCCTATTTTAGGCTATTAAAGAAATAATGTAATTAATAAGTTTAAAAAGCTACTTAATATAATATAGACTATATTAATAAAAGTAATTTTCTAGTAATATATAGGAAAATATATTATTATACCTTTTTAATATTAAATATAGCTTTAGGATTTATAATAACTAGTTTTATTTCTTTAAATATAGAGAGAGTATTATTAAAGCTTTATATTAAATTAAAAATACTTACCTTACCCTTAATATTAAATAATAGCTAATCCTTTTATCTTAGCTATATACCTACTAATCTATATTAACTAAATTAATAAAAAAAATAGCTTAAAAAACTATAAACCTAGCTACTATCCTCTATTATAGTAAAAGTAGTACTTAAAAAGATAATAAAGGGGGTAGAGATTACTATATATAATATAATTCTACTTTAATAAGAACTTTATTAGCTATAGGCTTTAAAATATACTAAAAGAAGAGAAAGGAGATCTTATAATATTATATTTATAATAGAGGAAGTTTAATAGGCCTTTAAGCTACTTAAAATAAATAAAAAAAGAGAGGGAAGTAGAACTAGGTCTATTATTAAGACTAAAGCTATAGTATACTATATACTATAGTAATTATAATTAAGAAGGTTATAACTAGCTAAAATACCCTATTAAATAGTTATTCTTTTATTTCTTAATATATTATATTTATATAGGTATAAGAAGCTTTAAAAATAAGACTGCATTTCATTGGAATCAGAGGTGTGGAGTTGGCTGCTGCCTGCCATGCAGCTGAGTGTCCGATTACATTAATAGTAAGGCTTTAAATAGTTATAATACTATAAGTCATATTATTATTAAGTCTTTATATTTTATAATCTTTATAAGGCTGTAGCTATAGTTAGTAAGTATAAATATATAAATATTACTTTATCTACTTTAAGTAAGTCTTACTAAGATATAATAATATTATATATAGTAGTTCTTTTAAGATATTATAATATTAATAGAATATAATCTATAGCTCCTTATATACTCCTATATAGATAATACCTCTAATGAATACTATTATCTTATTCTTTATAATAGGTTACTAGGATCTTTAGTACTTAACTAGACTATTATAGCTATAGTAAAATTTAGTATAGTTATTTATATTCTATATTATAGATTCCTATAGATTATTAGGTAAAAATAGCTTAAAATGTAATAGTAGGCTATTTATATTAATACTAGGAGATAGAAATAGCTTTAAAGGTTAGGGGGTATTTATAGTAAGAGTATTAAATTTAATAGTTTTTAGATTAGGGATTTAAGTAATTAATTTATTTATAAAAAGCCTTTAAACTATATATCTTTATCTATTTTCTTTAGATCCTGATTAGCTAACTTAATATAATCATACTAAGGTACCTAACTCTTTAGTAGCTATAAAGGAGGGGGTATATAAGCTATTATATTATAATATATTCAAATATTAGTATCACACCCTGGGATCCCACAATGGTACTGAACCTGTAAACCTGTGAGTTAAGCCAGGGAAATACTAACCTATAACCCTAATCTAAGGATGTTAGTAGTAACTGTGGTGCTCCTATAAGTTAAAAGTACTTAAGAATATAGTAATATAATTAAGGAGAGAAGTAAGGCTAAAGATATATACCTCTTTAATTAAGTAAGAGATATATAAATAAGTATATATAGAATAATTAGTAGAATACTTTAAGTACTAGATAGCTATAGGTTAATAATTAATAATTATAATTAATTATAAAGAACTACCTAAGTATATAAAATAAGTATCCTTATATATCCTTCCTAATTTCCTATGATACCCTAGATAGTCCTTTAAATAGTATATATAAGATATACTAAAATATATACTAAGGTATATACTATCCTAGGTAGTATACTAAATAATATATTTACTAAGATATAGTACTATATACTATTTTATATAAATATATACCTAATAGCAGCTATAGAGAGTATTATTATAGTAAATTATAATTCTCTATAATAAGAATATCTATTCCTTTTAACTACCTGATTCTGCCTAATATAGTCACTAATAAAGGTGCTGTAACATTCATCTAGTATTTTATTTATTTTAGCATATTTTATAGCCTTGGCACTCCTAATTAGTCAGAAACTATATTACTTCTAGTAGAATAATTTTCTGCCACTATTACTACTTTTAAAAAATAATAATATATATACTAATTATTACAGCACCCTTATCAGTGACTGTACCAGGCAGAATCAGGTAGTTAAAGGAAATAAATATTCTTATTATAGAGAATTATAATTTACTATAATAATACTCTTTATAGCTACTATTAGGTATATACTTATATAATATAGTATATAATACTATATCTTAGTAGATATACTATTTAGTATATTATCTAGAATAATATATATATTAGTATATATTTTAGTATATCTTATATATACTATTTAAAGGACTATCTAGGGTATCATAGGAAATTAGGAAGGATATATAAGGATACTTATTTTATATACTTAGGTAGTTCTTTATAATTAATATACGTTATTAATCTATAGTTACCTTTTAATTACTCTTAAGATTATTCTACCCACTTATTCATATATCTCTAAGCTTTATTAAGAGGTATATATACTTCTTAGGTTTACTTCTCTCTTTAACTACTATACTATATTCTTAAGTACTATAGCTTATAGGAGCACCCCAGTTACTATTAATATCCTTAGATTAGGGTTATAGGTTAGTATTTCCTAGGCTTGACTCACAGATTACAGGTTTGGTACCATTGCGGGATCCCAGGGCGTGACAATGAAGGGATAGAAATAGATATTATTACTAAGCTCAATAAACCCTTAAAATACTATAATTAGAAAGCTATAAATAATAAAGTATTATTAAGAATAATAAGGTAATACCTAATTATTAGAGACCTTTCTAAAGTATCTCCTTAATAAATTAAGCTTAAAATAGTAGCCTTTCTAGTAGTAATTTAGAAGGGCAGTTAAGCTATAATATTTTAATAAATCTAAGTAACTAAATCCTAATTTTAGCTTAGAGTGTAAAGAGGTGATAAAAATAGTAAAGGTATTATAATAATACTTTATTAAAATATATAATCTATATAATTAAAAGTAGTATATAGTTATAAGAAATTAGAAAAGATAACTTATAAAGTATTAAAAAATAGATTATTAATAACTATAAAAAGCTATTAAAGTAGGCCTAAAAGATATATAAAGGTTAGTAAAATAAGTATATAACTAAAGTAATATATAGAAATAAGGAATTACATTAATATTATAAGGACTAAATAGGGAGGAAGTAGAAATAGTAAAGTAAAAAGTATAATTATTTTAGAAAGTCTTCTTTCTAAAGTGATTACTAATAGATATATTAAATATTATTAGGTAAAGTTAATACCTAAAGGTAATCCCTATATCTTGATTAAAGTAATACAAGATTAGATAATAGTTAAGGCTATACTATTAAAGTGTTAGAGAATAATATTTACTTAAATAGTCTCTAATATATACTTATTGAAGAGCTAAGAGTATTAAAGGTACTATACTAACTATTTAATATATATATCTAGATAAGGTATAATTTAAAATACTTTTAAAAGTTAGTTATTATAGTACTTTATAAGCCTTATAAAGAAAGAGATTACTATATAATCAAGTCTTACTAGCCTATAATACTATTAAATATACTAGATAAGATCCTTAAAGTAATTATTATAAAATAAATTAGCTATATAATTAAATAGTATAATCTATTATTAGTAGTAGTAGTAGTAGTAGTAGTAGTAGTAGTAGTAGTAGTAGTAGTAGTAGTAGTAGTAGTAGTAGTAGTAGTAGTAGTAGTAGTAGTAGTA